GAACTCTCCAAAGGATATCTCTTGGAACCTTATTGTATGCTTTATAAAAATCAAATGAAATCAAATGTAGATTCTCTCTATTATCTTTGAAATTCTCCATCAAACTTCTCAATAAATGTATAGCTTCCATAGTAGACCTGCTCGGCGTAAATCCAATTTGATTTTGAGAAATCTTTGTACTACGTCTTAACCTATGTTCAATTACCCTCTCCCATAATTTTAAAGTATGACACATCAAATTAATGCTTCTATAATTTGCACACTCTTTTGCATCCCTTTATTCTTAAAAATGGGGACCAAAAGACTCTTCCTCCACACCTCAGGCATTTTTCTCAGGTATCTTTTTAGTTTTTAAAATAATATTAAAGAGTTTAGTAAGTCATCTTTTAATCTAACAAACAATTATTAAAAAATAGTCGAGGCTAGTTTTTAACTACGTGAGTCCTAAACTAAACATAGTATTTATACATATTCACCTTGTTTATAATGCTTAAAATGTTCATAAAATTTACCCTATATTTACCAAATATAGATATTGTCTTTTACTAATATGTTTTATCAATTCATGCAGGTGAAGTTTTATATGTAATGTATTGCCAAAATGATTCTTTAGGATCAAGATATATTGATTCAACACATTGAAATGTTTCAAAATCAGATTCTTTTTAATTTTCAAAAAAATATTTCAAATTATCAATCTAGCATGAAAATTTCTTTAGATTATAACTTTCATCAAATGTGAGAATGCAATTTGGATCTGCTTGATTGTTATTCAGAACCATAACTTATTCAATTTTGTTGAAGTTGTTTCTTGTATTAATTTTTTTGAGCCATGTCTCATTTTTAGTGGACATGATATACTATAAACTTTGATAACAATATGGTGTTGGACTTACTATAGGACAATATATTTATACTAGCAAATTTTGCTGGTAGACTTTGTTCGCTTGAAATATCATCATTCTTTTGTCTATAGTTAAGGTTTGAGGGTTACTAATGCAATCTATAATGTGTTTCACAATAAAAACACACAAAAATCATAATTTGGGGTTACAAACTCTCAACCTTAGTAAGAATTAGTCATTTTTAATTTATAACTAACAAAAACACTTATTTCTTTTCAAGCAATAACTTTGTAGTCATCAAAGTGTGATATTCCTCAATAAAATTATTGAAAAAATGTGCAATTTTTAGCGATGATCAAGTTCATGTTATGGAAAGGATATTCAAAAAGCCTATAACTTATCAAAATCTCATTCAGGCATGCATACTAACAACTAAACAATCATATGGGAGAACAATATACAAATGTCACACAAAAGGAAGAACTACAGCCTACACCAGTATAAAGAGATTTGCTTTTGGAAATAGTTTTCAATGCTCCTGAAGCTCCCAAAAAATATCTCTAACAAGCAAGTACACAAGAGTTGAAGATAAATGGTATTATATTGCAAAACCCAATGCTTCATTGATTTTTACATGCTTTGTATTTCTATATATAGATCATTGAAGGCCCAATCTAATGAATTTCTCAGAATCATCTAAGATCCAATCAAAAGCTATATGTTTTAATTCTTCAAGGTTTAAATTATATAAATCAATTTTTTGGTTCATAATTTCCATACATATATAATCATTAAAAAACCAAGAGGTAATAAAGGCAGTGTTTGCAACAATCAGCTGTTAAAGGTCCAAGGATTTTAGCAATTGACAACTTAAAAGACTGCTTACGATTGTAGCGATCAATGATTTCTTAGTATCTTTAAATATGAAAAAAATTATTCATTAGTATTTGAATTAAATACAAATAATTACTTTTTGAAACTGTATATTTCATGCACATATTTTTTATATATTATATTGAATATATTATTTTGATTTTCATTCACATTTAATTGTGAAAAAATTAACATATAATTAATAATGGCATAACATAATAGGAATTAAATTTAATCATATTTAAACTCATCACAAATTGATTTTGGTATTACTAATACTTTATTCAAGAAAAGAGATGAACATCTTATTACTTATAAGAATTGATTTAATAAAACACAAATGGATTGTTTTCTTATGAGAAGAAGAGATCGCCGAGATTGTAAAGAATGTAAGGTCGTTCCGAGTGAGGATTTAAAAATCCAACATCGTTTATTAGATCTAGATTTTTAGACGAAGAGTTATAAAATGAAGAATACTAAGTCTCATCATCGTAGAATTAGATGGGGGAACCTTAAAGACAAATAAAATTATTTTTATGAGTAGAATTCAAGATTTCAATATTTGGGATGTTCATGATGAATCAAATGATATGCGAGATAAAATAACAAACACTATTAAACAAGTAGCAAAAAATGGACTTGAAGAATCAAAATTAAAAATTTCTTTAAATAAAAATAGTTGGTGGTGGAATTCTAATGTGCAAGAAAAGATAAAATATAAGCAGTTATGTTATAAAAATTTGTTTAAATGTAAAAGCTTAGAGAACTGAGAGAAATATCAAACGATCCGCAGGAAGTCTAAAAGAACAATCCGTGACGCTAAAAATTCTGCTTTTAATGATTTTTATAATAAATTAGATACTAAGGAGGGTGAAAAATATATGTATAAACTAGTCAAATAAAGAGAAAAAAAGGTAAAGATTTAACTCAAGTAAAGTGTATAAAAGATGAAAATAAAAAAGTGTTTTTTTAGAAAAACATATTCAACATAGGTGGGTGAGTTATTTTGATAAACTTTTTAATGAAGTTTATGAAAATACGATCGACCTTAGTGATTTTAATATTGTTAATAATAATAAAACTTTTCATTTTTATCGTCGCATTAATAAAAAAGAAGTTGATGAGACTTTAAAGAAAATCAAGGGTGGAAAGTCTGTAGGACCTGATGATATCCCAATTGAAGTATGAAAATATTTAGGAGATTGGGGAGTTTCTTGGCTTACTAAACTCTTTAATATTATTTTAAAAACTAAAAAGATGTCTGAGAAGTGGAGGAAGCGTATTTTGGTCCCCATTTTTAAGAATAAAGGGGATGCACAAGAGTGTGCAAATTATAGAGGAGTTAAGTGAATGTGTCATACTTTAAAATTATGGGAGAGGGTAATTAAACATAGTTTAAGTCATATTACAAAGATCTCTCATATTCAATTTGGATTTATGTCGGGCAAGTCTACTATGGAAGCTATACATTTATTGAGAGGTTTGATGGAGAAGTTCAAAGATAATAAGGAGCTTCTACATTTGGTTTTTATTGATTTAGAAAAAGCTTACTATAATTTGAAAAGTTCTTGAGAAGAAAGGTGTTGATATGATTTATATTCAAGTCATTAAAGATATGTACACGAGAGCTTTTACTTGTGTTCGAACTGAAGGAGGATTGACTAAATATTTTCCTATTTCTGTTGGATTATATTAGGGATCGGCTTTAAGCCCATATCTTTTTGCTTTATTTATGGGTGGTCTTATTGGACATTTACAGGAGGATGTACCTTGGTGTATGCTTTTTGCTGATGATATCCTTCTCGTGGATAAGATGAGAGAAAAAGCCCAGGAAAAACTTGAATTATGGAGGTCTACATTGGAGTCAAAAGGCCTTCGTTTGAGTAGAACTAAAACTGAATACATGGAATGTAATTTTAGTAGTAGTAGCTCTAGTGACAAAAGTGTAAATTTGGGTGATCAAATTATTAAAAGGTGTGAACGATTTAGATATCTCAGGTCTGTTGTTCAAAGCGATGGTGATATAGATGAGGATGTTAATATTAAAATTCAAGTTGGTTGGTTGAAGTGGAGGAATGCTTCAGGCCTTTTGTGTGATAGAAAAGTACCGCTTAGACTGAAAGGAAAATTTTATAAAATGGTGGTGAAACCTACAATACTTTATGGCGCTAAATGATGACCTTTAAAAGAGAAGCATAATACTAAGTTAAGTGTTGTCGAGATGAGAATGATTAGGTGGATGAGTGGCTTTACACTTAGAGACAAAATGATAAATGAATATATCAGTGATAGGGTTGGTGTAGCTCATGTGACAGACAAAATTAGATAAAGTCTTCTTAGATGGTTTGGTCACATTAAGCGTCGACCATCTGATGATCTAGTTAGGAGAGTAAATGTTTTATATTCGAATTATGTTAAGAAAGGTAGAGGTATACCTAGGAAGGCTTGGGCTTATTGTATAAAAAAATGATCTCAATTTATTAGATCTAAATGAAAATATGACACTAAATAGGACGCAATGGAGAAAAAGGATTCATGTAGCCTACCCCATGTAGTGGGATTAAGGCTTTGTTGTTGTTGTTGTTGTTATATTTAAACTCATCACATAATGGTCCTCATGCTATCAACATTGATATTTATTTTAGTGTTATTGCGGCTCATTATGCAGATAACATTTGCAGACATTATTCCTAATTTATTGAGAAGTTGTGACTAGAATTTTTTGAGTGTCGCATGATTTTATGCTAATCATAATCGAACTGCATGATAAACTTTAAACGCTTAAAACATCTTCAATATTTTTCTTTCATAAGTGTTGTCATCAGTTTTTATCACTGGTGTGGGGTGCCTTCGGCATAGGTGCCAATGCTAAGTGAAATGACTAGCAAATTTTTAACTCCGGGTGTGGGATTTTGAGGTTCGAATCTAAAAAACATGTTTGCTTGTATTTTTCTCTGTGCATTAAGCCTAGTTGGCTGCAGTGAGAAGTGAAAACTTTGGTATTTGGAATAGCATCTACTTGATGGAATGTAATTTGTTAATTCAGCTTATTTGGTGTTGGATGCCACGCAGCACTTCATCCACATTTGTATCCTGGCTTTGATTATCTATTATGTAAATAAGGAATTATTAACTGTTAGAGTAGATATATGGCCGCTTTAACTGAAGTTTTTCATAAATATTGAATCATAAGAAGCTGAAAGTGGATCTTCCCAAGTCCTTCTTGCTAATCTGTTTGAATCTTGAAGTAAGTACCCCTAATTTGTTCTTCAACTGTTTCAGTGTTCTTTATGTTTTGTGCAATGAAGAGCCACTTTGGATGAATTTATGTCTTAGAGATGGGGGTCAGTTCGAATATAAAGGTTCCTGGAAGAGGACAACCTTATATCGGTATGTAAAATGTATCTTTCTTTAATTAATTAGAAGAAGAATCTGTGCATTTATCTTCAAGTTCAATTCACTACGAACGTACAAATTCTGTTCATTGTTTTAGCATTAGAGGAAAACCTTTTATCGTTATGTAAATTGTATCTTTCTTTAATTAATCAGAAGAAGTACTGTGCATTTATCTTCAAGTTCAATTCACGAGAAACATACAAATTCTGTTCATTGTTTTAGCATTCTGTTAAGACAGTCCTTCAAATCATTGCATGCTTTTTTTTACTTTGTGTTTTTTCTTTTAATTTTAACTAGTACTGTTTGTTCAGACAAAATCTATGCATCAAGATTGATGAGTGTCAAAGACGGCCTCTACATTTTGATGGTATAAGGTTATCTATATTCATCCCTTTTTGTTTTCATATTAGCCGTTTCTGCTTTTGTGAATTAACCATGAGGATATTTTTCTATCTTGTTTTTATTAGGTTTCAGCTCACTTTTCCTTTACAAAAGATGGTATCGGTGCTTTACTACGTTGGATGGATTTACTTCAGATGGTAAAGATCTCGAAAGAAGGAACAACCAATCATTGGAAGCATTTAACAATAAAATTGATGAGAAGAAACCGGTACTGTCGTTGAGTTGCTTTTAAACACTTTCAATTATTTAGGGATTTCTCCTTTTTATAATTTTAATGGTTAATGGTGGCATACTCTAAAGCAAATGCATCCTATTTGTACAATTAATATTGCGTGCATCAAATGGTTATTGTGCATACGTTATCTTCCTCATACTTTGTTTGGTCTAACTGATTCCTCTAACAAGATGTCCCAAAATTGACCTCCATCTTTCTGCATGTAATATGTTAGTTGTTTTAATTTGGGGTTAGAGAGGCTGTGTTGGAGTAGTTGGAAAGGATGTGTTTCTGCAATTTTCTTCTCTAATTGCTATCAGTTTTTACTATTGATTTTATTTTTTTCACAAAAATGTGCTCCTTTAGGGTCATTGTAGATTTTGTTCTCTCTTTTTTTGTTCAGTAGGTTATGTGTATACTGTATATGCAGCCCTATGGGCAGTAGCTCCTGCCATCATAAATCTGAGTGCCGCATTCTATAATCCTTGTATTCATTCTACAGAAATTTTTTTTTGACTTGTTTTCTCGGCTATATTCCATGATGTTGTTTTCCTTTGAACCATTTTATTATATCAGCTTTGTGCTTCTTCTTCAACCTAAATTTCTGGCAAAATAAGAAATGGTTCAATGGTTCAACCAAAATAACTGGCAAAATAAGAAAAAAAGAAATGGTTCATTGAACCGTATAATTCCTTATTTTGGTGCATCAAATGGTTATTGTTTTCGTTTGAACCATTTCTTATTTTTTTGACTTCAGTGCTTGCCATCACTTACTGTTTACCCTCTCAATGCCAGTTATTTTGCCTGTAGTTTTAATTAATATCAGCCATCCCTCGTTAAACTTTTCTCACTTTTACTAGATTCTTTCAGAAGTTTGATAGGCATTGATGTTTACGCTTCCAACCTAGGTTCTACTTACTGAAGTGGCAAGCACTTGGCCTGCAAGGTATAAGTGGACGGTGGATCAGTTATTGTCCAATTATGGTGATGTCTCTTTCAGGATATCTCAAAGAAGCTCTAAGAAAATTACCATGAAACTCAAGGATTATGTTTCATACATGAACTGCCAGCATGATGAAGATCCTCTTTATATTTTTGATGATAAGGTGACTAAATATTTTCAACATTATTTTTGAATGGTTTATAAAATGGTTTGAAATATTTAAATTGGTATTTTTGCAGTTTGGAGAAGTTGCACCAGCTTTATTACAAGATTATTGTGTGCCAAGTCTGTTTCAAGAAGACTTTTTTGATGTACTGGATTATGATCAGAGGCCCCCTTTCAGGTGGCTAATAATTGGACCAGAAAGATCTGGTGCTTCTTGGCATGTTGATCCAGGTTTGACGAGTGCTTGGAACACCCTTTTGTGTGGGAGGAAAAGGTAGATTTGTTAATAAGTATTTGTCCATGAATACAAATTATGATTACCGCCTTATTCAAATATTGTCTTTACTTACAGCCACGTTCTGTTAACATGAAAAGGGTTATTTTCAATTATTGCCTTCCAGTCTATTAAATGATATTATTATTCCTTTCCTTAAATTTTTTGAATCTGGTCGTCAGGGAATAAATTATTTCCCTAAATAACATTGGTCTTTTCTTTGTATTGCATTGAGAGCTGAATTCTCTTTCATTTTATGCATATTATGTACTATGTATATATCTTTATTGATGTTCTGATATTAAGAATATACCGATCATTGACAAGGTTATTGTTTATTTGTTGATTTTGAGCGGGGTTCTTGATTTTTGAGTAAACATCTCCGAAGACTAGAAGAGTAATGCTGTTGATTTATTTATAGGTGGGCACTTTATCCTCCTGGTAGAGTACCTGTAGGTGTTACAGTTCATGTTAGTGAGGATGATGGTGATATAAATATTGAGAGTCCATCATCATTGCAGGTAAATGGTTGATGATTTGTTTGAAATATAATTGATACAAATCTAAGTAACTTTTGTGTATTATTTGTGCAGTGGTGGCTAGATATTTACCCTCTTCTGGACGACCAAGATAAGCCATTGGAGTGTACCCAGTTACCAGGAGAGACAATATTTGTTCCAAGTGGATGGTGGCATTGCGTGTTAAATTTAGATACAACAGTTGCTGTTACACAAAATTTTGTAAATACATCAAATTTTGAATTTGTGTGCCTGGATATGGCTCCCGGACATGTTCATAAAGGAGTTTGCCGTGCTGGATTTTTAGCTGTTCAAGATGGTGTTAATGAATATCTGAAAAATGATGCATCATTCGAGATGAATTTATTGAATTATCCTGACATGTCACGGAGAGAGAAAAGGCTCAAAATTTTGGAACCATTTAAAGAGCAGAATGGACAACATAACAGCTGGAATTCTATCAGCGGTCTTTCACATGCTTTCAAGTGTTATAATCAAGAATTTTCTTATGACATAAACTTCTTGCTGATGTTTTTGGATAAGGGAATAGATCATTATAATACAATTTGTAGCCCAAGCAACATTTTAGGAGAAAGGGAGATAAGGACGTGGCTCCACAAACTCTGGGTTTTAAAACCTACAATGAGAAAATTGATATGGAAGGTATTCTGAACATTTTCTTCTTAAAAAGGATTTTGTCAAATCAAAGAAAGCTTTATGATTTAAGGTCTCGCTAACATATGTCCAGGATCTTAGTTTATGATCACTAGTGTAGTTGTTCTGACCAATCCTATTTCTCATTTAGGGTGCTTGCTTGGCCTTGAATGTGGAAAAATGGTCAGCTTGCCTGATGGAGATTTGTACTCATTACAATTTGCCTTTACCGATAGATGATGAGAAGTTTCCTGTTGGTACAGGCAGTAATCCTGTACGCATATTCTATCTCATGTCATTGGCATTGTTTTTTTTATACAAACCTGCTATTTTTTCTGTTATTGATTTGGTATCATTTAGATGCACTGTTTTTGTTTTTTCAGTGATTCAACCAGCAACTTGTGAGAACTATTCCTTTCAATTTGGTGTGAATGGTTTTGAAATGAGAAGATAATCACATTAGTTCTGGGTTGATCTTGTATTATGTGTAACAAAATATAAAATGCAGAAATTTGGAATCCTCTAGACATTTGGAGTGGTTTAGGTGGTGCTTTAGGGAATTATGATAACATTAAAATAAATATTTAATGTGAAATCTGCATCAGTATCGTTATCATTATTCCAATTATTTGAGTACAACTTTATGGGTCTTCATTTGTCATTCATTATTGCTGATTATTGTCAAAGATGCTAAACCTAATTTTTGCAAATCATTTTGAACTTAGATCCATAAAAAATTGAGTTGCCCTCTTTTTAAATCATATGATAATAATTGTATTTTCTTGTTTAATTGACACATTTTTCATCCTTCATTGTACATGTCCAAACCATAAGTTCTTTTTCAAATATTTTTTCTTCTATGCACGCCACCTTAATAAAATTTTTAATATAACATTCCTTAATTTACCATTTCTGTTTATGCCACTTATTCATTTTAAGGCTATTATTTTTTTCTTACTCTATTTAGATATAAATGATTTTTTATTGCCTAACATTCAAATTTTAGAAAAAATCTTTTTGTATAAAAAATGATCTTTTAAATGAAAATATGACACTAAATAGGGCACAATGGAGAAAAGTATTCATGTAGCTGACCCCACTTAGTGGGATAAAGGTTTTGTTGCTGTTGTTGTTGTTGTAACATTCAAATCTGTGCAACACCGTTAGTTTAATTCCGGAGTTAGAAAATTTACTTCTAAATTTCTGTAATATTCTCTTATCATATACTATTCTTGAGGTCTTGGCCATTCAATCCTTAGGTTTAGAATTTATATCATCATCTATATCTCCATTCTTCCACATAATGGATCCAATGTATTTAAATTTCTAATGCTTAGGGTATCATCTCATCTTCTAATAATATTGATTGATAATTGTTCATATCAGACCCGATAATACATTTCATACAGTCTTTTTTATACTAATTCTAGGTTTCCCATCTTCTGAATATTTTCTCCATTATAAATTTTTACTCTTTTCCCTGAATGACTCATAATTTTAATTATACCATTTGCAAAATGCATGCATCATAACACCTCATTTTGAATATTCTTTTCCAAGCATCTCTATGATCAATAGAAAGTGATATGAGCTTAATGTTGATCCTTTATATAAACATGCTATATTTGAAAACTCTTGGGTTATCCCATAATTATCTTACTTTGATTCACTAGGTTTCAAAATGTATGACAATATAGGATAGTTCGCCAAGTTCTTCTGGGTTCCTATTATGCAACACCATCAGCTCTTTCTTTTTCGAAGTAATTTTTCATGGTGCTGCTATTATCTTTTTTGTTATGATCCTTTATTGAATTCTTAAGGTGCACTGCTAGCCTTTATTTGGACCAAAGTAAGGATATAGGGGCATAACCATTGCCTGGAAATTGGAGTAGATGAGATTTGGGAGGATTTAGGGATGGTAAGAGATGATACAGTGATTGTTGTCTAGTGGCAATTGCTAGATATGGTGGGAGGGAGTTATCACCTATGTTTGAAATGAGAGTGTGAGCGCTAACACTTTTTCATGGTGTGATTCAAGTGAAGGTGGGGAGATAGAGGGAGTTGGGGAGGTGGAAAGTTCACTGGATGAAAAATAGGTAAGGAGACTTCAAAATGAAGAGGAGAGAATAAAGATGGGGATATTCTTTTATTTCTTAGCAATAAAAGTTAACGAGGGCTATAGAAATTACTTGGGGAAAATTTCTTGATTTCACTATTCACATATAGGGTGCATAAATATAGGGAATTCAATTCTTCCTAAATTAGGCAAGAAAATGATCCTGAAATAAAAAATAAAAGAACATAAATAGGAAAGGAATAAACACAAATCACGAGGTTTCAAACTTTTCAGGTTTCCACACTCCCCTTCATGTTGGGTCGTAGATTTTGTAGAAACTAAGCTTTGTATTGAGCTCTAGAATGTGTTTAAAAGGAAGGACTTTGGTGAAAACATCAACAATTTATTGGTATGTCGGGATGTAGCTTAGCCATATAATTTCCACCTTAGCCTTTTCAAATATGAAGTGTCTATCAACTTCAATATGCTTTGTCCTGTCATGCTGCTTAGGATTCTTGGCAATACTGATAAATGATTGACTGTCACAAAAATCTATATAGGCCTATTGGAGTTACATCACAGTTCCCTTAACGATTTTTGAATCCAGTTCCCTTCATAGATTCTCAAGACAAGCGTCTTATACTCTGATTCCGCATTGCTTCTAGAAACAACATATTGCTTCTTACTTCTCGATGTAATTAAATATCCCCATTCATATGAGTAATAACTGGTAGTGGACCTTATATCAGTAAGTTTCCCAACCCAACTAGCATAAGTGTAGACTTCCACGTATTTTTTTATGATTGTCTCAAAAATTAATCCATAAGCAGGAGTTTTCTTGAGAAACCTCAGAATTCTGTATAGCACCTCCAAATTCTCTTTATTTGGGCTATTCATATGTTGGTTCATACTATCAATTGAGTATGCAAAATCTTGCCTAACATGTGACAAATGGATGAGTTTCGTACCAAGCTTTGGTATCTTCCTTTATTTACATACTCTCTTCTTTCTTTTTAGACTTCTTCTTGTGTTCCATTGGAGTATTAGCAGATTTTCATCTAATCATTCTCGTTTTTTGTAGTAGATCTAGGATGTATTTCCTCTGTGATATAATAATACTTTTCTTGGAACTTGCTATTATACCTAGAAAATATCTCATGTTTTTTATTTTTTTGATTTCAAACTCAGTAGTAAACACTTATTTGATTTTAAGAATTTGTTTTTCATTATCACGAGTAAGAATCATATCATCTACATATACTATAATTGTAGCAATCTTGTCTCTCTAAGTGTGTTTTATCAACTACATGTGATCAACTGTCTTAGAGAATATCTATTGAGTTTCATAGTCTTAGCAAACCTTTCAAACCATGCCCTTGGTTATTGCTTAAGCTTATAAAGAGATTTCTTGAGTTTGCATACAAGTGTTTGTTAGAATCGTTTTCAAGTCCTGGTGGTATCTCAATGTTCACTTTTTCTTCTAGATCCTTATTCAAGAAGACATTTTTTATGTCAAGTTGATGCAATCCCCATTTCTTGTTAATTGCTACTGAAAGTAGAACTCTGATAGTATTCAGTTTGACAATTGGTGTGAAGGCCTCTTGGTATTTAATCCCATAAGTTGTTTGAAACTTTTTGCAATAAGTTTGGCTTGAATCTCTCAATACTCCCATTAGCTTTGTAGTTGATGTTGAACACCCACTTTCATCCAACTGATTTCTTATCCTAAGGGAGTTTAGTAAGAATCCTTATGTCATTATGTTATTGTTTTCGAATCTCCTCTTCCTTTGCTTTCCTTCGTTGTAGATTTAGGAATTTGCACACTATCAATGTTAGATATAAAGACTCTATAGATTGATGATAGTTTCCCATAATCTACATGCTTCTGAATTGGGTATCATGCACAACTTTTCTTATCATCAACACCATAAGAGAAGGGATAACTCATGAGTACTAAACTTTTCACCTGAAATTTCAGGTACATATGGACACTGGTTTTGGTTGGAGCAGTTCTTATTTTGTAAGTTGTCATCCCCTTGTTCAAGATTTTTCTTCCTCCTAGTGTACACATGAAGTTCTTTGTTGTGTACTTCCGGTTGGGTTAGTTGGATTTCCTTAACGAGAGTAGGAGAGTTAGATGGAAGAGGAGAAAGAAGAGTAGGTGGGGCTATCAATTAGGTGTCATTAAATGCATCCCAAAATTGATTTTAATTTGCACTCTCCCCTGAACATAATATTTGGGATATTATGGTTAATTTAAAAAAAAATGGCATATATGGATTTGTAATATTTTCTGATGACATGAGAGTAACACTTATACTATTTTTTTGTTAGAGAGATACCTAAGAAAAATACACTTGATGTATTCGGGTTAAGCTTGTGCGATTTGGTTAGTGAATGTGGATAAAAGAAACACAACCAAATATTTTCAGAGAAAGATTGGATTAGAGGCTCTAACATGAGTGTATTTTTTTATAACATGGAGAACAACTTTGAATCCAAGGCATTCTAGTAATGAGGTAGGTGGCTGTGGGCACATCTCCCTGAAAAATCTTTTTAGACATTGTGAAAAAGCATTATGGACTTAGGGTCTGTTTGGGGCAGCTGTAACTTATTGAATAATCTGCTGATAAGCTGATTTAAAATAATCTGCCTGCTAATAAGCTAGGTGAAGCTAGGTGCGGTGACTATTACAAATTTTTATTTTTTTGGAAAACCCAGATTGCAGCCAGAAAGCTGTCACTGCACCTAGATAGGTGCGGTATGAAAAAACTGTTTTCAGTATTTTGAAAACGCATAAGCTGCCAAAATGCAGTTTATCCAAACAGGTCAAGTGCGTTTTCAAAACGCTACTGCACCAAAAAAGCTGCCCCAAACAGACCCTTAGATATTTCAATGAGATGTCTATTCTTACACTTTGCTATCTTATGTTGTTATGGAATCTCAACACATGAACTCATATGGATAATACCATTCTTTACAAGGAAGGTTCAAAGGATATAGTTGAAGTATTTCTTTGCATTATTAATTTTGAGAATTTGAATTTTGCATTGGAATTGAGTGTAAATAATGTCATTGGATGACTCAAAATTTGTGCAATTTCATATTTTTATTTCATGAGAAATATTCAACTGGTTCTAGTGTGATCATCAATGAAGGATACAAACCATCTATGTCCATTGATGGTTTTCAATCTTAAAGGTCCCTAAATGTTGCTA